ATATTGCATAATTGTTCTATTTTTATTATGTAATTGTCATGATTTCTCTTACTGTGCTTAATTTATAAAATAAACTTTATCATTGGTACATATGTATAGGAGAAAACATTGTGTGCGTAGGGTTCAGTTTTATCCAGGCATCTCCTGGAAGTCTTGGAAGATAGCTCCTGAGAGTGAGAGGGATTACTGCTCTTCTTTTTCTCACAGTCATCCAGATGTTGTGTTACTTTGTTTTAGAATCTTGTGTTACAAATGAAAAAATGCAATGTTAATTTGAGTCTGTTTCTTTTGAGTAATTATTGTTCCTTGTAACATGTCACTTTTCTTTTTATCCTTAAAGTTCAGCAGTTTTAGTGTACTGTTCTGGGTGTGTGGTTTATGATTAGTCTTGTCTGCATTTTGAAGAACCCTATGGGTTGCACTTCAGTCATATCTTTAGTTTGTAGAAACTTCTTCCACATCAGCCTTCACAATTGCCTCTTCTGTCTTTTCTGTTTCCTTCTTCTGTAGACGCCTCTGAAATGTATGGTATGTTAGGTTTCCTCCAACTGTTCTTCAGACTTCCATTATTTTGCCATTGTTTTTAGTGCTTGTATTTTTGCTTTTTTTCCTAGAATTTATTTTTCATATTCTGTTTGATTCTTCATAAGTAATCATACTGTTTTTGACATCAGTATTTAATCTGTCTCTTCCAGAAGATTTATTAGGTATGTGATCATTCTTATTTTTGCTACCCTGAGACTTGTTATTTATATGTTATTTATATTTATATGAGACTTGTTATTTATATGTGTAGGGGCTCAGGTTGAACTGGTAGGAGACCTTAGGTGTTGTAATGTATAAGCCAGAGAGGTGTGGGCATCTCAGCCTGTACTGTAGCAGCAGGCATATTGCCTGATTCCTATCTGCATACCAGGGAATGCTTTGCCTTCTTTCTGGTCTCATTTCCCATCCCCAGGAGCAGAGCCCATCTCCCTCCTATTGAGTGCCTTTGGATCTAGCTTGGAACCTTTGCTGATGAAGCCCGGTACCACCAGCTTTTTCTCTTAGGATATCCAAAACCCCATAGCACATTCTTCAAGCCCCACTGCCTCTCACTCCAGAGCTGACTGGTTTAAGAGAGGGTTGGATTTGTGGTTGAAATGGAAGAGGTGAATCAAATTCAAGGTTTTTCCCACCCATAATTCTGAGCATTTATACTTTGTTCATAGCTTCAGATGGTATATCTTTGCTCTGTGTCATTTGACATGTTTTTAATGACACAACAGAAGAGACTTTTATTTGGGAAGCTGCAGTTTGACCATCATAGTTTTTCTTATCCCTACATAGGGATAACCTTTTGGACTATATGTCAGTTTTTAGGCAGTATCCTTTTTAAATGCAGTTCATTCTTTTAAGAGAATTATTAATTTTGATAAATAAAACTTTGAGGCATATGTGTTTGTATGCAAATTTCATTGAACAAAATGTGATTGATGTGAAAATCTTGCACAAGGCAGAAACCAGTTAAAGTCAGACAGAGAGGAAGGAAACAGGAGTTGAATCAGCTTTGAGTTACCAGTGGGAAGAAGACACAGAGATAACATGGAAATTGAAAAACCACACATAATCAAAAACCTTACTTTGGCCAGTAGTTACCACCTCTTCTTTTCTTAAGCCATCTATAAGAGTGCTGACAACTAGTATTAGAAAAGATTATACTTTAAAGAGACCTGTTGTTTGAAATTGAAATAAGGAAGCTTTCCGTAGACATGAAAGAATGAAAGAAAATACTATACCTTATATTCACAGATTGTAAAGTTAGTGCAAATATATGGGTATTTATATTTAAAAAGTCATTTTCCTTAAATATTTGAGATTTGAATTATGCAGACATGTTCTCTTTTGTTGGATTGCTTGATATTCAGTTTGTCCTAATCAGCCTCAGGCAAAGGGAATTTGAATTATACAACATGTGTAAACTTCACATTGAATGGTAATTAGTCTGTGATGCTTAGT